TCTTTGAATTATTTATTTATTATCAGTGTCATTTTTTATAATTACTATAGCGAGAACAACCTACGATGTTTAAAAGCTTCCTCCTCTTTCGAAGTAAGCCAATAATTCCCAGTGACGATACTAATGACGCGATTAAACCGATGAACAATAAAGTCGTAATGAAAAAACGTTGACCAATCAATCTTGACATTATACTATCATCAGTGAGAGTCCATGTAGAAGTTACGATAGCAACATTGCCTGCAAGCTGTGATTACTAATTGTAATTAAACATAAACTCTGAATAAATTAATACGCACGAACGTGGCCGCGTTGATAATTAAGAAGGTAAGTTTGACACATCGTTGTGAATAATCATTATGTGAAAATCTGTGGAAATGCATTCCAAGAAAATGCGGTCTCTTATCGGTGGACACGGTTCCATTGCTATCAGTAATATCTTCCTCATCTTCCGTTTCGGTTTCATCCTCATGCCCGTGATCTGGCGTACCAGTAAAAAATTTATTCCAGTTCATGTGTATGTTACCGTTATGTAAATATAATCCAAATATGACTAAAAAAATAGTTGAATAAAAGTGACTATAGAATGTCACAAATCGTTCACTATTCAAATTGTGTTATTGTAAATAGTAACATTGCACGATATTAAAAAGCGAATATCATATCCTAGCCGAAACGTAATATTGTCATTCTCATTACAAATCTATATGTATGTTTTCATAGTCAAATGTACATTATTTATGAAGCAATTAAGGATTCAGGCTGGTTACGTGATTTTTAACAGATTTTTTGTTTCTCAAGTATGTACAAATATTGAGAAATCATCTTTTGTCATTTCGCAAGCTTCAATGCAAATATCATACAGGGTGTCTCAAATTGCGCGACTTTTTTGTGAGATTATGAATGAGGGTGAAATTCTGAGTCAAAAGTTCCTCTCCAACTTTTTCATTAACAAAATTATTAACGAAAAAATTGGACTAACGGTCACTCAGCGGATCGTGACAATCAACCTAGCAGCGATAGTGAGGACAGCGTAGCACTTCGCCAGAGGAGAATCAAGCTATAATATGCTAGTCGAAGGGATGGTAGAGGCGGCAGACGCCAGTAGGTCGCTTTTCTGGCAAACAGCGCGTGCCTCCGTCTTGCTCCGTCTGGCTTTTATTGTATCTCTCTTGGACCGCTACCTGTCTTACATTTCACACTCCAGATCCTGTTAAGGTATATGACCCGATCCACGACCGTCCCTGATCCCTGATCGTGTCCCTCCCTGACTCTCTACCAATCGTTCCATTATATTGTTAGCGGGAATCTTGAACTCGAGATTTTTAACTCGAACTCGAAATTATATTACCTAATTTGTCACACAAAATTATCAATGATTAATGAATTTCTAATTTCTTTTATATATTTAATAACTCTATACTTACTGTATTAACTCTTTTGGTATTCATCGGTGTCATGTAGCTTTTCCGTTTGGCCTCCTTGATTAGTAATTTCATTTTCTTATTCATTGAACTTACATTCTTTAATATAGGTGCGCTCTTGACATCGACGAATTTATATTACTTTCGAATGATTGAAAATTGCAGAATAAGGAAACGTTTCAAATTGCTATGAAAAGACCTGTTCCCTTCGTACAGATACTTGACACGTAGAACGTATTTGTACTTACACGTTTGAAGGATTTTTATGAATATGTGTTGACATTTGTAAATATGTATATATTTATGGTAAATATTACGTTATGGCATAATATTTTTTACAATTGATCTTACAATCAACGCATCTTTATATTTATTTACATTTACTTTTGTACATAGTATAGGTTAGCAGGTGATAAATGAATTTGATTCCATCGTGTATGAATTAAAACAATAATTGATAAAATGTTAAGGAGACGACATGTCAATATTAAAACTGTCAAAGAATTAGATGGATTTCCTAAATTACCAGAACCATATGTAGACAAGACTGCAGTTGGAGGAACATGTAAGTTTCTCTTTACACAATATTGCGTTTCTTATTTTTAATTCTATTCTTATTTGCAGTTTCTATATTTACAATTTGCACCATAGCTTATCTCATAATAGCAGAAACAAATTATTACCTTGACAGCAGATTACAATTCAAATTTGAACCAGATACAGACATTGATGAAAAATTACAAATAAATGTTGATATAACTGTTGCTATGCCATGTGGTCGAATTGGTGCGGATGTTTTAGATTCAACAAATCAAAATATGATAGGTCATGATTCTTTAGAACAAGAAGACACATGGTGGGAATTAACCCAAGAGCAAAGATCTCATTTTGAAGCTTTGAAACATATGAATTCTTACTTGAGAGAAGAATATCATGCAATTCATGAATTATTATGGAAATCTAATCAAGTCACTTTATATAGTGAAATGCCAAAAAGGTACATAAAATATATTGTCATTGAGAGTGTATCATCTATACATGTTATATTTATTTTTATAGAATGCATCAACCTAGTTATCCACCAAATGCATGTCGAATACATGGCAGTATAAATGTCAACAAGGTTGCTGGTAATTTTCATATAACAGCTGGAAAATCATTACCCATATCCAGTGGCCATATACATATTTCAGCCTTCATGACACATAGGGACTATAATTTTACACACAGGATTAATAAATTTTCATTTGGTGGTCCCAGTCCAGGTATAGTTCATCCATTAGAAGGAGATGAAAAGATTGCTGATAATCGTGAGTTTCTATGATACATAAAATAACTATAATACAGTGTAAATATTTATAAATTATTGAAAGACGGAAAATATTTCAGATATGCTTTTATACCAGTACTTCGTAGAAGTAGTTCCTACAGATATACAAACTCTGTTGAGCACTTCCAAAACCTATCAATACAGTGTTAAAGATCATCAAAGACCTATTGATCATCAAAAAGGATCTCACGGAAGTCCGGGAATTTTTTTTAAATATGACATGAGTGCGCTTAAAATAAAAGTTACTCAACAACGCGACACAGTATGCCAATTTTTAGTGAAATTATGTGCCACAGTGGGAGGTATTTTTGTGACAAGTGGTAAGTACATAAATAGTATAAATGTCTATTAATATGTGAATAAAAGTCGAGTTTTTAAACTTATATTATAGAATGTTTTTACCGAGTTATCAGTGAAACAGCAATAAGCGTCAAGAGACGTCAATTTCCCGATAAATATTAGAAAAGTCACAGTACTTCCTTAGGCCATTAAACAGTTTATTTCCGATTGAATATATTTGTAACATAAGTATTCTTCCAGGGTTAGTCAAAAATATTGTTCAGCATTTTTGGTACATCGCCTGTTGTAAATTTTTGAAACCAGGAGAGCCGAAAAATGATTCGATACCTCTTATTCCACACAGTAATACAAATTATCCAGTTGAAACAATAAATCTATTGAACATTTCGGCACCAGAAAATATAGATATTATGTTTAAACCACAATAAAAATAATTTGGTTTATTTGTGGAAAGAAGTATAAATAATGTTTGTATTTCCCTTGTACATAACAATAAAATTAATAATAATTTCATAGATTTGTATTCATCCTGTTCCCCCTTCTCTCGATACGGTCGTCCAATAGAAAAATTTATTTGATCAGAAGGTGCATGAAAGAATAGTAAAAAAAACATCGTACTTCAATGAGTCACGGTAAAAGTTTGATCGAAAGATGGAACTTTATTTACATTTGTTAAATCGATGCGTCGGGTGGTCGGTGGTTTGCGTTATACCAGAGCTGGTTATACGTAATAAAGATACTGGTTGATTCAAAGCTTTCGCATGCGCTCGAATTAAACAGCGAGTTCGAAAGGACGATATTTATTTAATTCTGAAACGAAGTTAACACAAATTGCTCAGGTATGGCAGAAATTAAACAAGAACATAAAGTCGAGGATACGGATAATTATGGAATGGCTAATAGTGCGGAACCTAAAAATATGCAAGAATTGACGGAATACGTGAGTACAGTGTAGTTTATTGCTGTGACAATGTGTGTTGACGTTTCGATGATACACTGTTGTATCATGCTTACATTACTTTTTATTGTTTAGGTCCAAACGCTGTTGCAAAATATGCAAGGAAAATTTCAAACAATGACAGATCAAATTCTTGGAAAAAATATCCTTTTTTTACTGCAGTTTAGAAGTTCGCTTTCTTAAATAACCTTAAAAGATGACTAATATTTTAGACAAATATATAAGATGTCTCATTTGTAATTTTGCACGCAATTATTTCCTAAATGTAATATTAATCACAATTAGTAATATTTCTAGCAGTACATCTTCTTCTAAATTCAAGAAACCAAATGTTAATGTTAATTTACTTTATGTTCATAACCAAAACAATGGATGAGTAATTTAAAGATCAATTTCTGCGTGTACGACAAAGACAAGTTGTAAATTAAATGACTGAACTAGCTTGAGAGACCAAAATGTCAATAGAGCAATAAATTTGTCTTGTCACAAGCTATATACCTACCTAAGTAGAAACCTATACCTTCATATAAAATATCAAAAGGACAGAGAGGCCGGTATTTAAAATTGCTTATTCTTGAGATCGTTAAGACCCTGTTCCCTGTACAAGGCAAGGATTGGAAATATGGGCTAGACAGGGATAGCAAATTCTTAAGACAATCTTAAGAATAAGCAACGACTCTGAATACCGGCCAGAGAAGATTTGTAACCATATTCCTTCAAAGCAAAGTAAATTCTGATAGAAACTGATTTCTTAATGAGGATAGTTTAGGAAATAATTGTGTACTAAACTTCAAATAGGATACTCTACAAATGTGGACGTAGCATAAATAATACTTTTGAGAAAATAATAGAACATATATGCCAGATAATGCCTATAATATTTTATGAAATGAAAAAGCCACATTTCCTTAACAAGAAATACTAGATGAAATGGGAAACAGGATAGATGATTTAGAAAAAAATATTACAGATTTAATGACACAAGCTGGCGTTGAAGGAGGTGATAAATAATTGTATTTATTATAAGATTGACATTAATGTTTAAACAGAAATCATCGTTTTGATAAATATCATTGAGTAAGAACAATTTCTCTACACTATTGATATGAATCATTTTGGTTATTCAAGAATAAACTAACTTTTTTTGTAATAACATAATTAATTTAATGTACATTTTATTTCCTCTCTTCATTAAAATAAAATTTTAGCTGAGAATTTTAGAATCAAGCACATTTCACTATTAAAACTATGATACAATTACGTCAACTATGTTCAATGATCATAGATTTTGTCAAAAACTTTTGATATGCAGGAATTGGTGGTACTGCTTTAAATATAAACTGCGTTCCATCTTTGGGTCCACTTTTCGCCTGTATTTCAATCTAGAATTGTACAAAATATTGTGAAGAGGACGGATTATTTAAAATTACATAGACTTATGCCTGGCTCTCACAGGTTTCTCTTTAATGGATTCAGATTCTGTTTCTTCTGAACTGTCTCCAAATTCTTCAATTTGTACAGATTCGGAAGAGTTTGTCTTTAAACTGGATTTTGTAGAATCCTATTAAACATGTACAAATTGTGGTTGCAGTATAATCATATACATTTAATTATTCAAATAAAAGAGTTACCGTAGATTCAGCCATGCGATTAGATGATTTTTGAGAGATCATAGGAGAAGCCATAAAACGGCTGGCTAAATTCGTAAGAGAATAGGATTGTCTAAAGGAAGTTCGCCCAACAGTAGATAATCTCGCGACGGAATCGGGCACGCGCATCACTTCGCGAAATTCCTGAAATTAACAATTGATTCAATTACTTTAAATAATATTTGTATATTTCTTTAAACTACTAAAAATGAAAAATTTAATATAGAATTTATGTAATTAGCTGCATGGAAATTTACCCCATTTATATTTCCTCTCATTAAATGAAAGTCCTGTGAGGAAATATTAGAGTACTATATGTATAATACACTTAATTTTAATAGAACGAAAAAATTCGAAAACCTACCTCTAAATCTTTGCTTTCGTCGATATCAGCAATATCTTGATAAGCTTTCGTCAGTAGTTCGAGAGTTTTCGCGTGAAAACTTAATTCAATAACGATAAAATCTAAAAGTATAGTTTTTAGATCGTGTGATTTTCTTTTCTCGAAAGAATCGATTTGTTCTTCCAAGCCTCTTACGACTCTTGAGACCTCAACGGAAGCTTTCATTAGCTCGGACTCAGCTTGAGTCTATCAATGCTTAAGGATTTGATATAATCGAGTTTCCGAATTTCTTTCAATCAACAGAACATTTGATACAAGGATACGATCATTTGTCGGTTTCTAGGATTTCGTTCTCTAAGTCTGTCCAAATGCCTTTTCCGCGTTAATTCTTTATCGCGTGCTGTAAATATATTTTTTACGTCTTCGCGTGCATGTTTGCAAATCGTTGCATACTGAGAAAGAGGAGCTACTATTTTCGCATCAAACCTTTGCACTTTGGCATCACTAGAAATTAACAATCTAAACATTTCCATTTTTTAAATTTAATAATGAACACATACGTACCTATAATCGCCTATTACTGACAAAGTTGCTGAAAAATTTGTCAATCCGTTAGCAAGAGATCGATTTATGGTTTCTGATTGAGCATAAGTCTGAATAACTTTTGCTATCTCGTCTCCTTTGTCACGCAATCTAAAGATAAGTACATTAAATGATTGGGCATAATAAATTTATTTCCATACGTAAATAAAACGAATTGAGATATGGAACAAATAATCGATAATAATGGTTGTTATGCAACCTTGCCGCTTTTCTCGTATACGCCGCGAATGTTGTGCACAATTCTGCGAAATGTTTTTCCACATTCGATATTCGGTCTTGTACAAACTTTGCTTCTTGTTCCCTGATAACAATAATAATGGTGAAATAACGAATACAACTTACTGTTCATATTCAAACAATGCGCAAACGTAAAATATTGGAAATGTGTACCAACCAGACATTGCTTTGAGATCTCGAACGTAACATTTTGGCGTGTGTATAGTTTCGCAATTTTTTTTTAATTCGAATCGCACGATCTTCGGACAGAACTAAGTAAATACACTACCATGAAGTTTAGACGCGCCTTACTAAGTAAGTATTGCTACGTTCGCCTGAACACCCCTGTGATAATTTACTGCTGGCAGATGGTCTGACCGCAGGTGAGGTCGATTTTCTACCTACACTATCATCGACCTACCTGACACTGCGTGTTTGAAAGGAAATATGATTAATGAACAATATTAAAACTTTATTTCTCTTCGCATTACACACTGTAATGCTTATTATATACATACACATATCTTACAAGAATTGTACAATACTAGAATCGAAAAGATGTCCTAAAGATTTTTTTTTTTCTTAAAATAATTCAAGATTTCTTTAGTACAGCAAAGGAATGACCCGATCCACTTCCGACAAGAATTCCCGTATAATCATACGGAAGTAAAAGCTGTTCCGGATTTGCAAGGTCATTCGTATGACCGTTTCCACAATTTCCATGTTCATTCCAACCCCAACAGAAAATTTTTCGATCCTCTATAATGTGGTACAAACTAATGTATTACGTGTATATAACTGAAATTTTATTTCTTATTATTTCAAACTATTATATGTACCAGTTAAAGCAACATTGTGTTCAGAACCGACAGAAACTTGATAAACTCTTGATAAACTTTCGATACGCGTCATTTTCCAAGTTGATGATTTTACGAGTTCCGCTACACCTAATTGTCCATACGTATTTCGACCCCAGCAAAATATTTCATTATCTGCTATAAAGATAATTCGATTTTGAAAATCGATGGATATTATCCGAACAATGTATATATAGTAATGAGATTAAATTACCGTTCAAAGTAATTACATGGGACCAACCACTATGTACTTCAACAGGAAACTTAAGTCGTACATGTGGCAGTTTTGTTGGAATAGTTGTTTTCAAATATTCGTCCGTATTTAATCCTAATTGTCCGTGTTTATTATCACCAAATGCATAAACTGTACCATCTGTTCCTACAGCAATCGTATGATTCTGTCCGCAGCTAACGTTCCTTATATTCGTTAGCGTTGGAACTGTTTAACAAGCGTCGTGCGATTTAATGGATTAAAATTTTTTCTTCTAAAATAGCGTTTTACCTTCTGTGAACGTGTACACTGCCTGTCGAGTCCTGTCGTTCCTCGGGCTATTGAAACCGTGGAGACCTAATTGCCCTTTACTACCCGTACCAGTTAATAAAACTTTATAATCCTCTGTCACTAGGGCAGTGTGTCTTAAGCCCATCGAGACGCCTTTAATTTTCCGTCCCGTTGCAATTTCAAAAGGTTCGTGCGTCCACTGTAAGCTCTTTGGGTCCTTACCCAGTTGTCCAAAACAATTTGACCCCCATAAAAATAATCTCCCATTTTTTGTTAGTGCCGCGGAACAGTCCCAACCGCATGCTATGTCAGCAACTTTTTCCTTGAATTTCCTACATATTCTTTGTAAGGACAAAACTTCTTCCTTTACAGGAAAACCAAGTTGTCCTCTATTGTTCCATCCGCAGGTATAAACGTGACCGTTATCATCCAGAATTAACGTATGCCCAGCACCACCAACTATTTTTTTTATTTTTTGCGGTTTCAACGAGCAATTTGATAAATCAACTTCACGAGGTAAAATGCATTCTTCGGACTGACTCCCTTGCCCGAGTTGACCATGAGAATTAGCGCCCTATAAAATTAGTATTAATTACAATTGTACATTGTTATCATTGAATCCGCCAAAATTTTGAAATTCAATCTGAGATTAACCGGAAGTGCTGCAATACATGCGCGTTAAACATGTGCAGTATTTTAAGACTTTATAATCATAACAAATTGTATAAATGTTAATTGTTTAACAGCATAATTGAACGATTTTGTATCTATGTGCATACAAATAATTACATTACCCATGATATTAAGCAATAAGACATCTTCGTAAACAGTTTCCTATCAAAAACTCGTACTCTTTAATTACATAAATCTATGTTATACTTCGTCTATGACCAAAGTTCGAGCTAAAAGATTTAAGATTTGAGGTTAGGACTAATTTAGTACATATATATGTAGATAGCAGCAAACCATAATGTATATGTTATTTTCCTACTCAACATTTTGATTTCAATCGAAGAAATTTGATTTTATTATCAAAACGTGTAAAATTGTTATTTAATTTCATTACGAGTTTGAATGATTCATGGAACTCACGTAGCATGGAAGAATCTGTCAAATTTGAGATTAAAGAGGTTAAGACCGACCTTTTACGCGCGATAAATGAATGTTCTCAACGCGGTTTATTGCATACCACTAAATGGTATTTATCGTTTTTTAACTGGAGTGGTATGGATAGTGTCGTCTTATTATAAGAAGATCTATTATTATTACAGGCTAGCAGAATTAAGTTATTCCTTGAAAGATGTAACATTAAATGTTCATGACATTACTGCTGACTTGTATATATCTGAGACAAGTGAAGAAGAAGATACATATATTTTAGCAAAAACTTATTTCGATCTGAAAGAATATGATCGAGCGGCTTATTTTACCGAGCAATGTAAAACGCCGAAAGTTCGATTTTTGCATTTATATTCTCGGTATCTATCGGGAGAAAAGAAAAAGATAGATGATATGACAGTGGTACCTCCAGATCCTTTAAAAAACGAAAGCTTAAGATTATTATGCGCTGATTTAAGAAAAGATCACATGGCAGATAAGCTTGATGGTTTTGGTCTTTATCTTTTTGGCGTGACATTAAAAAAATTACAACTTACCAGAGATGCTATAGACATATTAGTTGAGGCTATTCATAAGCAGCCCATGCACTGGGGATCCTGGTTAGAATTAGCTTCTTTAATTACAGAAAGGGAAAAGCTTGAAAATCTGTGTTTGCCTAATCATTGGATGAAACATTTTTTTATGGCCCATATGTATTTAGAGCTACAGTTAATAGACGAAGGTTTAGCTCTGTATTGTGAACTGCAATCAATGGGATTTGAAAAGAATGGATACGTACTTGCTCAAACTGCAATTGCAGTCCATTATAGGAGAGGCAAGTGAACTTGATAAGAATTTACTTTCATTAACTACATATTTATTATAATAAATTACAATATATATTTATTTTAGATGTTGATAATGCTATAGAAACATTCAAAAGGATAATAAAAGAGGATCCATATTGTTTGGACAATATGGATACATATTCCAATTTGCTCTATGTGAAAGAAATGAAAGTGGAACTAGCATATTTAGCACATAGAGCAACAGAAATAGATAAATACAGATTAGAGACATGTTGCATAGTAGGTAAGTTTATCTTAGTCTAAAACAAAATAGCTATAGTTCTGTAATTGAAATATCTTTCAGGAAATTATTATAGTTTAAGAGGTGATCATCAGAAGGCAGTAATGTATTTTCACAGGGCATTAAAATTAAATCCACAGTATCTTTCTGCTTGGACATTACTTGGTCATGAGTTTATGGAAATGAAAAATACTAATGGTGCTATTCATAGTTACAGACAAGCTATTGGTACATATTACTTGCATTATTTGAGTATAGATCCCGAACATTTATTTATTTATTTGTTTATGCTTTTATGTAGAGGTGAATAAGAGAGATTACAGAGCATGGTACGGTTTGGGTCAAACTTACGAAATTTTGAAAATGCCCTTCTATGCACTTTACTATTATAAACAAGCTCAGTTGTTAAGACCACATGATAGTAGAATGGTGCTGGCTCTGGGAGAAGCATACGAAAAACAAGATAAAATACAAGACGCATTAAAGTGTTACTATAAAGCATGCAATGTTGGTGACATTGAAGGAATGGCACTATTGAAATTAGCTACGTATGTATTAATATTTCACGATTCATATAATAATCCTACGATTGTAATTGATTGTATATTTTAATACATTGCAGTTTATATGAGAAATTAGGAGAGGACGATCATGCTGCGGCAGCTTATACGGACTTCGTGATGGATGAATTTAGAAATGCAGACAGGACCGATTTAAGTCACGCGTATAAATATCTAACGCAATATCATTTGAAACGAGAACAGTTAGATCACGCTAATCATTACGCTCAAAAGTGTTTGCAATTTGACGAAACAAAAGAAGAAGCTAAAGCATTGTTAAGAACAATTGCACAGAAGAGGGGAAAATTTGAACATTCGATGGTGGTAAATACACAAACCGTTTGCTCATATACTTGTGAATTAACTAATACAAGTCTTCAAATTATATGTATTACAGGTAGAAGATATGAATGAAACGGATCCGGTTATGGAGCAGGGAGAAAGGTCGGACGTTGCACCAGGAAGTCAGTTATCGCCTATGAATTTATCATTTATGCCTACGCCTTAAAATACATTGAAGGATATTAATTACATATTTATGGTATCGCTTCACGCATATGTTGTACATATTTTTAATAAGTAATAAATAAAACTTTTGTATGATATTTTTATTTATTGCATTTTGCGTTTGTCAAATACTAAATTTTTAAACATAACATCTCAAATTAAAATGAACAACACTCACAATGCTCACATTACCAATAATAATACGGTTTAAAATTATCGATCTCATCTTTATTGTAGTGCACGGGGTCGTCTACGGGGAATTCCATGAATGCCCAATATTGATAGTACATATATCGCAATGGTGGAGGTGCGCGCGGTATTTTTTTCATTTTATTGACGGGTTTAGTATTCTCGATCGAAGAAATAGAATGATCTGAATCGTAACAGGAACATAATAATGGCGGATTTTCTGGTACTTCCGGAAATCCAGGTGGAGGGCGGATTTTCGTTTCTAAAATATTCGTAATATCGGAGACGTTTTCACGCTGTGCAACGGGCAACGTCACCATCCCGATATTTGAGTTTTCAATTTCAACGGAAGGTTCATCTACTTTACTAGAATCCAATGCAGAGCATGACGTCGATGATGAAATTTGATTATATGTAATCCCTTTGATATTGTTCGAACTCGATGTGCAATGTGACTCCTGCTCCTGTCTGTTAATCTGGAAAAAAAGTAAATCGCACGTTAAGAAGATGAACGAATTACAAAAAACATACTGTATTAAAATCTAGAAAAGTGAATATTAATTTACCTCGGGAGAAGATATATTCAAGTTGAGAGATTCGTGCTGCAAGCAGGCTGCTTCCGCCAGTTGTTTAATATCCTTCATCTCAACATCTTCATCAACAACTGCGGTATCCCTCATTGTAGCTGTTTCTCTATTTAATTTCTCGCTTGTTTCCACCGTTTTAAAAAAGGAAAATTCATCTTTATTATCAGTAGTTTTCCAGATATTTCGTTTTTCGTAAAATCGTCTGTCCTTTATTGTGTCTAAAATTTTTTGTTTGCATTTAACTCTTTTAGTAGAGCTATATTTTCTTTTTGTACCAATTATCTTCAACAATTTCCTCCTTCGTTCCCTTCTGTCATATCGCAACATTCTTCTCTGCGCTATCATTTTTAAAAAATGTTCTTTTAATTTTTTGTAAAGATAATTTGGTGAGCGCTGTTCTCCATTTAAAAGACGTTTAGATATAGTAGATAATACGAATTTTTCGTCAGAAGAAGTGCATTTTTGCTGAAATAATATTGAAATCTCTTCTTCGATGATCGAACTAGTTTCCTGTCCATCAGTGGCCGACCGTAAAATCTCGATTTCTTCAAGCTCTTGATCACCTTGTGACACCTCTATTAGTGAATGTAAATTAGAAGAACATTCCTCTATCGTTATATCCATGGGCTCCGCTTTCAATATCTGTGCACTGCCAATCTCATTGTAGTCTATCAGCAAGTTTTCTATCGTGTTATTGGCTGTAGCCCATTCATCAATGGCATCGAAATCGTTTCGAACTGTCATCATGTTTTCATCAGATTGCGTATTATTGCTTCCCTTTTCTTCCGAATACTCGTCGAACGATGTGATGCTGTAATTAAAAGCATGGGCAGCAGTCAATTCAGCAGATCCGGAACTTCCCATCATTTGCGAAAATGCGTGATTTGAACATTCTGCAACAGCGATCTCTTCTTCTCGTCCGTCTATTATTTTCTCTCCTCCGCCTTTAAGTCTTGTGTTCATCTTAGGATCAACGGACATCCAAGAACTCTTCCTAAATATGTAGCGCAGCAGATCTATTGGAAGCATTATGTATCTGATGCCGGTTTCAAACATTCCGCTGCCCAGCGAAGATAGACTGTCCGATGATATGATCATGTTCCGTCTCGGTGCTCTCAAATATCTTTTCAATATTCCCGAAGCAGAAAGGCGATATTTTTCTGTCATAGACACGACTTTTAATTCAGGTCTCTCCTCGTCAAATATTGTTGCCTGTTAAATGAATAAAATTTTAACAGGTTACACAATTTATAATGGTAATATTTGAAGAAATAAAACGTAATCTAATGATTTTCAAATATATAGTTTCACGACAATGTAGTTGATATGTATCAGAAAACGCGAAGTTTTAATGTGAAGAACTAAGAAATATTGACCAATATGTTGTATACACATGTTAATAATAATTTGTTGCGTGATGAAATGCAATTGGCGAATTTCGTTCGAATCTTAGGCGAGATAGTCTTGTCACAAGTCAATATTTCTTACGGTTGCGAGAAATTTATCATTAGCTAAATGTTATTAAAGTTAAGATAATTTAGAGCATAATTGGCGCCCGTTTATCTATGGAATGACGTCAGATATCTCAGACGTTTCCACCGTACGTACAGCGTCAAGTGATAAATACTTTAATTTTAATCAATGAAATTCCAAATACTTCAACTTGTAAATACCGCTCGGAACACGCGCTGTCACTTATGTATCAAATATTGAATCGCTAACGGAACCGTTAAACTGTGTTTTGCACTAAATGATTTTTAATTTCACTTAACAATTTTAATTTTTTTACTCACGTTCTCGTTCCTTGAACGCACGTGTCTTCTCTTTTTGTTCGAATTTTTTTTTCGTCTTTGCATCTTTCCATACTTCTGCATGATTGTTGATACGTTTTATCTACCGTCACTAGACACCGAGGGAAGGACATGTGGAAGGACTATCACTGTCACCGCTTCTAACGAGTAACTACTGCATGGTGCACCTGACAAAACGCTAATGAAGCGTAAGTTCAGCAGGGTTGTCTACCAGGATTTGAAGGGAAAGGACATCCTGCGTCCTGATTGGCCAATTTTCCGAACAGGAGTAGGAGAAATTTGAAACCAAAGGATCTCCTAGTCTTGCCTCCTCCTGATAGGTCCTGACGTGACACCACTCACACTCCTTCGCTCTCAGGTCAATTTCTCCTCCCCCTTTATTACCTTACGTTTATTCGTACTAAAATACGTATTTTTAATAAAAATAATATATTTATAATGTCCATGTAGGAA